GTCTTTCTGAGTTTTGGGGTAGACCCTTTATACTGGCTAAGTTTCATTGAAATCGGTGAGATGGCATGTAGCAGACTTGCCTGGTGCACCCATGGACACGCTCTTAAAACAAAAACAAAAACACCACGAAGAGATAATTACAGTAGAAGTCATTTGCGTCCCCTCATGGGGTGAGAGATTCTCGCCCATATCAACTTTCTTTTCTCTCGTAAGTTCTCGCGCGTTTAGAGATGCGCCACACTCGCGTTTAAGGAGCAGGGATCCCAACCGATGCTTACCGAACTTTTTCAAGATTCTACATTTAGCCCTGCCCCAAATCTACACACGTGTATTTTACTTGTGGAAAACTATCGATTTGCACAGTGTTTGGATTGGAGATTCTCGCCCATATCAACTTTCTTTGCTCTCGTAAGTTCTTGCGTGTTTAGGGATGCGCCACACTCGCGTTTTAAGTGCGGGCATCCAAACCAATGCCTACCTAACATTTAAAGATGCTACTTTTAGCCCTCCCTCAAATCTACACACGTGTAATTCACTTGTGGAAGTCTATCGATTTGGAGAGTGCTTGAGTAAGAGATTCTCGCCACTATCAACTTTCTTTTCTCTCGTAAGTTCTTGCGCGTTTAGAGATACGCAACACTCGCATTTTAGGTGCGGAGATCCCAACCAATGCTTACCTAACTTTTTAAAAATGCTACTTTTATCCCTCCCTCAAATCTACACAAAAGTATTTAACTTGTGGAAGTCTATCGATTTACAAAATGTTTGGGTGAGAGATTCTCGCCACTATCAACTTTCTTTTCTCTCGTAAGTTCTCGTGCGCTTAGCGATGCGCTCACTCGCGTTTTAGGTGTGGGATCTTAACCAATGCTTACTTAACCTTTTAAAGATGCTACTTTTAGCCCTCCCCCAAATCTACACACGTGTATTTAACTTGTAGAAATCTATCGATTTGGGCAGTGCTTGGGTTAGATATTCTTTACCATGTCCATTTTATTTTGTCCCGCGTGTTTTCGCGCGTTTAGCGATGCAGCACGATCGCGTTTTTTGTGTGGAGATCCCAAACTATGCTTACATGGCTCTTTAAAAATGCTAGCTTTGGCCCTTCCTCAAATCTACACGAGTGTATTTAACTTGTGGAAACTATCGATTTGGAGAGTGTTTGGGTTAGATATTCTTTCCCGTGTCAATTTTCTTTTGTCCCGCGTGGTTTCGCGCGTTTAGCGATGCGGCACACTCGCGCATTTTGTCTCGGGATCTCAAACTATGCTTACATGGCTCTTTGAAAATGCTAGTTTAGGCCCTCCCCAAATCTACACGAGTGTATTTAACTTGTGGAAATCTATCGATTTGGACAGTGCTTAGCTTAGATATTCTTTCCCATGTCAATTTTTTTTTTTGTCCCGCGTGTTTTCGCGCGTTTAGCGATGCAACACACTCGCGTTTTTTGTGTGTGGATCTTAAACTATGCTTACATGGCTCTTTGAAAATGCTAGTTTTGGCCCTTCCCCAAATCTACACGAGTGTATTTAACTTGTGGAAATCTATCGATTTGGACAGTGCTTGGCTTAGATATTCTTTCCCATGTCCATTTTTTTTTTTGTCCCGCGTGTTTTCGCGCGTTTAGCGATGCA